GCAAGCTGCTCTACTGTCTTCACACGTCTTTTCTGAACAAACAAGAGCTTCGCAGACTGGACGCCTTCCAAGCCAGGTGCCTCCGCAAGATTCTACGCATTCCACATTCTTACATTAGCAGGGTGTCCAATGAGTGCGTCCTGCAGCGCGCCGGGTCCAGGCCGCTGAGCAACGCTCTGCTTCGCCGCCAGCTGCTCTTCCTGGGGCACGTTGCCCGGAAGCCGGGCGATGACCCCGTGAGGCTGACGGTTTTCCGGCCCTTTTCGCACGACCTGGCGCTGTCCATGTTCAGAAGGAGGAGGGGGCGACCGAGAAAAACGTGGTGTTCTGAGATACATGCGCACGCTGTCCGGGCAGCGCGGGGTGAGGAGGCCCTTGCGCATCTGCGGCAAGATTCAGTGCAGTCCATCGCAGCCTGGCACGCAACCGTCACGCGGTACTGCGATGCCCTCTGAGGCTGTTTTTCGTGCTCATGTGCGTTTTTGCACTCAGCTTCTCTCTCTCTCTCTCTCTCTCTCTCTCTCTCTCTCTCTCTCCCCGGCCGGGGCAAGCGCAGAGTTGATCCGGAGAGGCATAGGTTTCAGTCAGAACTTACGTCTGATCCCTGCGGGGAACAAGATCTTTCTGCTGACGCAGAGGACGAGCAGCAATACATAGCGTCCCAGACTGCTGCTGCGGACGCTGCAGACGAGGATGCGGCGGCTGCCTTCAGGGCATTGGCCATTTTGGCCCTCCATCTCCCTCCTCGCCTCCCGTCCCTCCGACGTCGTCGACGTCGCCGTCTGTTGTCCTTCCCTTTCTTCCTCTAGCCTAAGGCGCGGCCCGGGGAGCCCGCGTCGAGGCCAACCGAGCTGCAGCCAAGGCTCGCCGCGCCGAGCGAGCGAGAGCTGAGCATGGTCGACGGGCCCCGTGGATCGCAGAGGGCGTTTTCAGCGGCTCGTTTTTCAGAGATGTGCCCGTCGGGGAAAGGGCTCCTGATGTTTCACCTTTGGGAGTTAGTCTAGTGGTGGCGTAAGTGGCGGATTCCATGCACCACCCGCAAAGCGCTAAGCTACCTGCATTGTTCGACCACGCGCACAGCGAAACCGCGCGTCGCATCATCACCCCTCTTCTCTTCTTCCCCGTCTTCCTCTTCCTCCCCCTCCTCCATCCTTTCTCCCTCCTCCCCCTCCTCTTCTACCTTTCCTCCCTCCGTCCCTCCTCCCCTTTCGCTGCTATATTCTAGACGCTTCGCGTATCCACACCAGCTCGACTACATCCGTCGTTGCCCTGGCTACTTCGCCCGTCTCTGGGACCATCCCCCCGTGGACGGTCGTTCGCAGGATCAGTATTCCCTTCAGGATACCTGGTGTGCGACTTTGGTGGCGCCACCCGATGCACCAGTTTGGGCCAGTATATGCGCCCATGGCAGTCGGCGCAGTGTTCCGGCTGGTTGCCTCCCTGGCCACATCCTGGTACGACCCCGCGCCATTTTGGCTGCGCCCCAACCCTGGTTGGCTAATTTGCATGTGCGCGCCCCTGGACCTGGTCCCTGGCAGCTGCATCTTGCACCCCCCGTCACGCCGGCCCGCCCGCCGAGGCGCTGCTGAAGTCGCCGGCCCGTCGGCGTTAGGCAATTCAGCTCTTGCGCGGCCCGTTCGGACCTGACTCGCCGCTGGCAACCTCGCCTGCGGTTGCGACAAAAAGTATCCCCACCAGCTGGCTAGTGATCGGGCGGTTTTCGACTTGCTTCGCGAGCCCGCAGACCAAAAAACATGTCCCCGCCAGCCCATCCAAAAACGATGTCCAGGCGAGTTGACAAGAGGTGGACGACTGAACCGTGCGAAAGAGGGAGGAGGAGAAGGAGGAGGCTGGCTGGATGAATGAGGGAGTGGGGATAAGGAGTATGAATAGGATGGTGATGATGATGTTGTTGATGATGATGATGATGACGATGATGATGGTGATGGCGATGTTTATGATGGTGATGATGGTGATGATGATGAGGATGATGGCGAAGAAGATGATGGTGATGGTGATGCTGATGGTCATGATGTTGGTGATGATGATGATGATTATGATGATGATTATGATGATGATGATGATGATGATGATGATGATGATGATGATGATGATGATGATGATGGTGAGGAGGAGGAGGAGGAGGAGGAGGAGGAGGAGGAGGAGGAGGAGGAGGAGGAGGAGGAGGAGGAGGAGGAGAGGAGGAGGAGGAGGAGAGGAGAGGAGGAGGAGGAGGAGGAGGGAGGAGGAGGAGGAGGAGGAGGAGGAGGAGGAGGAGGAGGAGGAGAGGAGGAGGAGGAGGAGGAGAGGAGGAGGAGGAGGAGGAGGAGGAGGAGGAGGAGGAGGGGAGAGGAGGAGGAGGAGGAAAAAGGAGGAGGAGGAGGAAAAGGAAGAGGAGGAGGAGGACAAGGAGGAGGAAGAAAAGGATTAGGATGAGGAAGGGGGAGCAGGAGGAGAGGGGGCAAGCAACAGGGCTGGAGGTTTTTTGGGATGCCTCTCGGAGCCTCTTGGGATATCTCTTGCGCGTTTTTTCGAGGCCTCTTGGGACGTCTTGGGGGGGTTCCGGTGGTCCTGGAGGGCTCTTGGGCGTCTTGGGTGCCTCGGGGGGGCCTCTTGGGGCCGCTTGGGGTCCTCTTGGGGGCCTCTTGGTGGCCTCTTGGGGTCATCTTGGAGCAATCTTGGGGCCATTTGGGGGCCTCTTGGGGCCTCCTGGGCGCCTCTTGGAGGAGATCGATCAAAGAAGGGAAGGGTCGCAATTCGCGCTGCCCTTCGGGAGCTCCCAAAAGGCCAACATGGGGCCAAAACCATAGTACAACCAATGATTTTGGCTTCCTCGCCGAGGCTCGCCGAGGCCGTTTCGGACGCTCCAACGACCCGGGGTAAGGGGGAGGGTTAAACCCTCCCCGAAGGGGAAGAGGGAGGGGTGGAAGAGGAAGCGCTCTAAACCACCTACGCCCAGAGGGCGGGTGGGATTCCTCTGCCTCCGCTCCTCCTGCCCCAACTCCTACTACCATCTTTTCCTCCACTCCCCTTCGTCGTGGCCCTTCCCATTCCGTTCCCTCTCCGCCTCATTTCCCCCCCTTGCTTATCCCCCTCGGACCCTTCATCTTCCTCCTAGCAGTTTTGTCCCTGCCTCATTTTCTTCCTCCCTCGTCGATTTTCCTCCTCCTTCAATTCCGGTTCTTTCTCCACCCCCTCCTTCAATCCCCTCGCTGGTTCCTTCCTTGCCCCCTCCTCCCCCTCACACTCCTCCTCCTCCTCCTCCTCTTTCTCCTCGTCCGTAGCCATTTTTGGTTCAAGGCGGGGGTGAGTCCCTCGCCGGTGCGCGGCCCGCCGCCTCCGCGCGGCCTGTGTTCCCCAGTCCCGCAGTCGCAGCATGGCGGCTGGCCAGGGCTGGGACGGCAACGCCCTCGTCAAGCTCATGACGGAGCTTCCGGTGGCGCAGGCGGCCTTCGGTGCAGCCCATGCGTGCTTCGTGGCAGGCCTCACGGCCAAGGTCACAAGCACGGTGGTGGCAGCGGCGGCGCGCGGGGCGGTACAAGGAGCGGGTGCGGGCGAAGGTGCTGGAGGCGGCGCCGTCCTCGCAGTCGAGGCGCTCGACGGCATGCAGAACATCCTGTCCGACCTGGCGGTCCCAGGCGTCTCTGAGGCGAAGGCACGCCTCCGATAAGTCGGCAGTGCGGACCTCGCGAGCCGCTTGGGGAAGCTCCCCAAGGTGCGAAATGGGATCGCCCACCGCGACGTCAGCCTGCAGGGCGACCTCGAGGTAGCAATCAACGACCCGTCTCTTGTCGAGCAGCTGCAACGCACGGAGTTGAAGTTCAGCGAGAAGACTGTCCCCCTCGTGAAGGAGGGTAAGACCGCAAACGGCAAGGATGTGCAGAAGCATGAGAGCAAGAAGGGTTCCAAGTACAAGCGGAACAGCAGCGGCTACGGCGGCGCGCTGAATACTTTCGACGAGGGGCAGAATATCCAGGCGCTGGAGGCCAAGTTCCTGAACTCCGAGGCGGAGAAGCAGCAGCTCGAGCAGCGGGTGGTGGAGGCCAACCAGACGCTCGCGCAGCTGGAGGGCCAGTTCGTGAAGCTTCAGGGGGAGAAGGGCGAGCTCCAGTGCGCAACGGACACGACCCTTTCGGATATGGCGGAGCAGCTCAAGGAGGGCAAGGGTGACGAGTACCAGGAGCGGGCCGCAGTGGCATCGCTCAAGCGGGAGTTCCACGAGTTCGGCGACAACATGGAGAGCGCATGCTACATCGTCAAGGGTGCAATGATGTACCTCCAGACGTCGGACAGCAAGAAACCTTCCGACACGGCCGTGACAGCAATGGAATTGGATTTTGAACGTTTCTGCAACGCGAATCCGAATGGGTGGCAATGGCGGCAAACCCTTGGGGGGTGCCGGACCCGATGCGGTTACCCGTGAGGCAAGCATACCAGTACTATCCTGAAGGCGCGTGGGGGCGCGGACAGAAAGAGCCCCTGGGGGGCGCTGGGCCCGATGCGGTTGTCCCCAGGGCAAGCAAACCAGCGTCTGCCGGTCGCCGTCACATGTGGTACGATTGTTGTGCATTGGGCTATTTGCAGCGTGTGTGGCATCAGTTCAATAGTTTCTCACGACTGTCTGTCTGGGATTATTGGCCTAATGTTGTTCTTCGTCGCGGATGTCATCTACGTGGCGTCGTGGAGGCTTTTCGGCGACGGCTTCTCGAAGTACATGTACTTCGCCTTCGTTCATTTTCGGAGGGCGCGACATCCCTTGAGGCGCTCGCGTTGGAGCCCCCGCGCCCGCGCGCGGAGGTTCGGCCCTCGTGGCAGACCCTCACTTCGCGGCCCGACTCACTCACTCACTCCTCGTCCTTCTCCTCCTCCTCCTCCTCCTCCTCCTCCTTCCCCCACCCATTCCCCTTGCCCATCAGTTCCTACCGTGTTATGGGAGTTGCTTGAAGTTGCGCACAGCCGAGAAGATCCTGCCCCCTTCCCTCCCGGCTCCTACCCCGCAGCACCGCGGGCTTCGCTGGCGTCTCCCTGGCCGAGCAGGACGACCGTGTGATGCGCCTGGCCATCATCCTCAAAACAGACGCGCAGGGCCCCCCCCTCCCCCCTTCGCCGCGCGCGCCCGACTCAGGGGGGCGTCGGCGAGATGGAGGAAGGACGCGGAGCGGGAGGAGGTGTATGAGGAGGTGGAGGAGGAACGTCTGGGGGTTCATGACGGCGAAGAGCTCGCGCACGCATTATTCCCGTCCCCGCTGTGTTTTACGTGCGTATAGGCTCTGACTCAGATGTGTGTCGGCTGCCGATTTCGCACAACGCCTGCTCGCGGCTTTGTTCGTCAGCTTTGCGCCATCTCGCACGTGGCTCATGCCTGTGTCGAGGCTGAGGCAGTTGCAGGTACGCGTGCCGGGTAGGCCCGCGCGCCTCGTGACTGTCGTTCTAGTCGGCTTGGCCACTGGCCGACCCTCGATGATCGACAGGCCGTTGGTGAGCGGAGACGGCAGCCCCACGCCATGGAGAGAACGCCCCACCCCCGCGCTACGTCAAGCAACCTTATAGGATCATCTCGGCCTGATTAGCTTGTGGGTATATTTGCAGGCGTGCAGCTGACATACATTGCAGACTCCAGATCTCTTAATATTGGTTTCCGCTTGAAATGCCGGAGGGGGTTGGCCACGGCGCGTCCGCGGTGTTGGCGAGGGGGGAAGGGGGGTTCGCCGTGTGCCGGGAGGGTTGGTCGCGGCGCGTCCCAGGGACCGTGGGGGGTGAGTGGGCGGGAGGTGTTTTCTTTCTAGCCGCGGTGCTGGGAGGGGTTTCGATTCACCGTTCCCCTGCAAGGAACGCCGCGTAGGAAGGGGGAGGGCGGGCCGGCCAGACTCCAGAATGGACCAAAACCACTCGAGTCGGCCACTCGCCGCTCCGCCCAATCCCGCCCCCACGCCCCATTGCAGGGCAGCTCCCAGTGCAGGTGTTGAGGATGAGGCGACCCTCAATGCCCGACGGCTCGTGGTGGCGCCCATGCGCTGGCATGGTGCGAGCACGCCGGCAAGCGCCAATCTGGCGTTTCCATTGCTTCCCACAGATCTTACCATCTTCGAAGAACAAACATAAACTGCTCTGGGCCCCCCTGGCGGCGCCTTCGGCGCCGCCCCTGGCGCGCTCTGTGCGCCATGGCGGGGGGGGACCAACGCCGATTTTGGAACTCCGAGCGGAGCTCCAACAGAATACGTGCATGCCTATATTGTTCTTCTAGATCCCTTCCCCACGCACCATGCCCCGTGTCCGCATCCAGGCATGGTGGCACGCCATCCAGCCGCGGACAAGCAGGAAGGGCGAGAGAGGAGCAGGTATTTTGGAAGGCGCGTGGGGGAAGGGGGGAGGACGGGAACAGCAGTGCAAAAAGAGAGAGAGAGAGAGAGAGAGAGAGCGAAGGGTATCAGGAGGGAGGGGAATGGTGGAGGCGGGTGATTGCGTGTGTGGTTCAGACGCCTCCAGGGTTGGCATGCAGAGGGGCAGGCCCGAGAGCGTCCGCGTGGGTGCGGTGGGTTTTTCGGATTGCGGGGGCAGTGCCGGGAGGGGGGGGGGGCGGGCCCGCCGCGTTTTCACGTTTGTCTCCCCGCTGATTAAAACTTTTCTCTTTACACATATGTATATATATGTGTAGATACATATATATATATTATAATATATATTATATATATATATATATAGGAGTAGGGCCCCGGGGCGGTGCCTGTCATCTCCATGGGGGGTGCAGGGCGCCCCCGGGAGCGTCCGAAGCGTCCCGGAGGGCCCTTGGGACCGCCAGGAACAGATCGAGACCGCCGAAAACGGCCCGCGAGCGCTCCAAGACGCGCATGCATAGCCTCAGGAAGCCAGGAAGGCCCGAAGACGTTCCAAGAGAGCTCCATGAGGCCCCGAAGACATCCCAAGAGGCCTCCCAAGAGAGCCGCGACAAGCCAGAATCGTTGATTTTTATTGTTTTTGTTCCTAGGTTTTTGGCCTTCTCGCTTTTTCGGAGTTCCGACGCTCCAAGACCGTCCAAGAGTCTTCCAAAACCGCTGCAAGACGGCCGAAGAGGCCCCCAAGACCGCCCCAAGACTGCCCAAGAGACCCCCAAAATCGTCCCACGACGGCCAAGGAGAGCCCCAAGATGGCCCAGGAGCCGCCCAAGACGGTTCCAGGAGAGCCCCGACAGGGCTTCAAAACTGCCTAAGCGAGCCCAGCGGTCCCCAAGAGGGCCCCGCGAGGCCCCAAGAGGCCCCAAAGAGGCCCCCAAGAGCCTCCCCGGAGGCCCCCAGAGGTCCCCAAGATGCCCAAAAATGGCCCTGAGCGCGCCCCAAGACGCCTCTAGGAGAGCCCAACGGGCCTCCGAGAGGCCCCCAAGAGGCCCACTGGAGGCCCTCAGGAGGTCGTCCCCGTCATGTTCCCGGAAGGCGGTCCGGGAACATGATTTCGCGCCCTGGAGGAGTATTCTGCGCTTTCCGAGGCGCCTTCCGAGGCGCCCTGGACGACGTACGTATGTTTCTATAGCTTGTCCTTCTCCTGTGTACACAATCCTACATGTCTTACGTATATATATGTATATATATATATATGAATAGGTGTGTATATATATATATATATATATATATATGTATATATATATATATATACATATATACCCATCCCCCAAGCCCTCCCGAGTCGTGCCACTTCCTTCCACGTATTTCAATTTCTTCCCTCTATATATACATATATATATATATATATATACACGCCCCAAGACGTTTCCAGGAGAGCCCCACAGGCCTCCGAGAGGCCCCCACGAGGCCCACTGGAGGCCCTCAGGAGGTCGTCCCCATCATGTTCCCTGAAGGCGGTCCGGGAACATGATTCCGCGCCTTGGAGGAGTATTCTGCGCTTTCCGAGGCGCCTTCCGAGGCGCCTTGGACGACGCACGTATGTTTCTATAGATTGTCCTTCTCCAGTGTACACAATCCTACATGTCTTACGTATGTTTCTATATATATATATATATATGTGTATATGTGTGAATATACCCCTCCCCCAAGCCCTCCCGAGTCGTGCCACTTCCTTCCACGTATTTAATGTTTTCCGTGTATATTATTATTATATATATATGTATGTATGTGCATTTATCTATATGTGTATATGTATGTATGTATGTATGTATATATCTACATATATATATGCATGTATATATATACATATATGTATGTATGTATGTATGTATGTACGTACGCACGTACGTACGTACGTACGTACGTACGTATGTATGTACACACATATATATATATATATATATATATATGTATGTACCGGCCGTCCAAGAATTTCCCAAAACCGCTCCAAGACGGCCGAAGAGGCCCCCAAGACCGCCCCAAGACGGCCCAAAAGACCGCCAAAATCGTCCCAAGACGGCCCAGGAGAGCCCCAAGATGGCCCAGGAGCCGCCCAAGACGGTTCCAGGAGAGCCCCGACAGGGCTTCAAGACTGCCTAAGCGAGCCCAGCGGGCCCCAAGAGGGCCCCGCGAGGCCCCAAGAGGCCCCAAAGAGGCCCCCAAGAGCCTTCCTAGAGGCCCCCGAGAGGCCCCCAAGATGCCCAAAAATTGCCCTGAGCGCGCCCCAAAACGTTTCCGGGAGAGCCCCACAGGCCTCCGAGAGGCCCCCACGAGGCCCACTGGAGGCCCTCAGGAGGTCGTCCCCATCATGTTCCCGGAAGGCGGTCCGGGAACATGATTCCGCGCCTTGGAGGAGTATTCGATCTGCGCCTTCAGAGGCGCCTTGGACGACGTACGTATGTTTCTATAGATTGTCCTTCTCCTGTGTACACAATCCTACATGTCTTACGTATGTTTCCATATGTATATATATATATATATATATATATATATCGGAGTCGGGCCCGGGGGCGGCCCGGGGCGGCGCCTATAATCTCCATGGGGGGCGCAGGGCGCCCCCGGGAGCGTCCGAAGCGTCCCGGAGGGCCCCTGGGACCGCCAGGAACAGATCGAGACCGCCGAAAACGGCCCGCGAGCGCTCCAAGACGCGTATAGATAGCCTCAGGAATGGCCAGGAAGGCCCGAAGACGTTCCAAGAGAGCTCTATGAGGCCCCGAAGGCATCCCAAGAGGCCTCCCAAGAGAGCCGCGACAAGCCAAAATCGTTGATTTTTATCGTTTTTTTTCGAGGCTTTGGGCCTCCTCGCTTTTTCACGGTTCCGACGCTCCAAGACCGTCCAAGAATCTCCCAAAACCGTTCCAAGACGGCCGAAGAGGCCCCCAAGACCGCCCCAAGACGGCCCAAGAGACCCCCAAAATCGTCACAAGACGGCCCAGGAGAGCCCCAAGATGGCCCAGGAGCCGCCCAAGACGGTTCCAGGAGAGCCCCGACAGGGCTTCAAGACTGCCTAAGCGGGCCCCAAGAGGGCCCCGCGAGGCCCCAAGAGGCCCCAAAGAGGCCCCCAAGAGCCTCCCTGGAGGCCCCCAAGAGGCCCCCAAGATGCCCCAAAATGGCCCTGAGCGCGCCCCAAGACGCCTCCAGGAGAGCCCAGCAGGCATCCGAGAGGCCCCCAAGAGGCCCACTGGAGGCCCTCAGGAGGTCGTCCCCATCATGTTCCCGGAAGGCGGTCCGGGAACATGATTCCGCGCCCTGGAGGAGTATTCTGCGCCTTCCGAGGCGCCTTGGACGAAGTACGAGTCATATTCTTGAACGCTTTCCGGAAACATGATTTCTCACCATATCGGAACGCTTTCCTACTGCTGCGGTGCTCTGGGGGGAAGGGGCGGGGGTCCGGGAACATGATCGGGAGGTTAGGGAACGAGAGTTTGGAGAGGAGCAGTAGGACAGACGGGCGGGGCCCGGGGGCGGGGGTGGGGTGGTGCCACCGGTTGGCATGGCCGCCCCGGGCGTCCTGTGGGGTCCACGAACCCGCCCAAGACGGCCCATGAAGCCCCAAAGACAGCCCAAGAGACCCACAAGACAGCCTCAGCGAGGCCCAAGAGGGACCCAAGACGCTCAAGAGCGCCCGAGATGGCTTGAAGAAACCGAAGAGGGCCCCAAGAGGGTCTTCAAGAGGCAAACGCTGGCCCATTCCCATTCGTAAAGCATGCGTTTTCAGCATACTCGTTTGCTTGGTCCTCACAGTGCCCCAGACGCCCCCGAGCCCCAAGACAGCCCAAGAGAGACTCAAGAGGGCCCACGACGGCCCAAACGGGTCGTCCTGTGAGGCTCACGGAACCCCCCAAAGACGGCCCAAGAGGCCCCAAAGCCGGCCCAGGAGGCCCCCAAGACGGCCTCAGGAAGGCCCAAGAGGGCCTCGTTCGAAATCGTGTTCCCAGAATTTTCTCCGGGAGCATGATTTCTGGGTTTCTAGGACGCCCAAGGGGACCCCAGGACGGCCCCAAAAGGGCCCTAAGAGGACCTTCAAAAAGGCCCGGATGGCCACAGTTCGTTGATTTGCGTGAGATGTTGTTGGATTTCTTCCGCGCGGAGGAGACGGAGAGGGCGCAGGAGGAGGAGGAGGAGGAGGAAGAGGAGAAGGAGAGGGAGGCAGGGAGGAGGAGTGGAGGGGAGGAGGGGGGGGAGAGAGGAGGAGGCTCGAGGGCGATCGACGATCGGCGACGACGACCGGCGACGGTGATTGACGACGACGACGACGACGACGACGACGACGACGACGACGATGACGACGACGACGACGACGACGACGATCGACGACGGTCGACGACCGACGACGACGACGATCGACGACGATGACAACAGTCGACGGCGCCGATCGACGATCGACGGCGACGACGACGGCCACGCCGACGGCGGCGACGCTGCCCTCGTGACAGCCCAAGAGGCACACAAGACAGCCTCATCGAGGCCCCAGAGGGCCCCAAGACGTCCAAGAGCGCCTCAAGAGGGCCCGAGATGGCTTGAAGTTGGCCGAAGAGGGCCCCAAGAGGGCCTTCAAGAGGCAAAACTTTACCCATTCCTCGTGTAAAACGTACAATTTCAGCATACTCGCTTGCTTCGTCCTCAGAGTGGCCCCCGAGGAGCCCCAAGACAGCCCAAGGCGGCCCCAAAGGCCCCAAAGCCGGCCCAGGAGGCCCCCAAGACGGCCTCAGGGAGGCCCAAGAGGGCCTCGTTCGAAATCGTGTTCCCAGAATTTTCTGCGGGAGCATGATTTCCGGGTTCCCAGGACGCCCAAGAGGGCCCCAGGACGGCCCCCAAAGGGCCTGAAATGACATTCCAAAATTCCCAGAGGGCCACAGTTCGCTGATTTTCGCGAAATGTTGTTGGATTTCTTCCACGCGGAGGAGACGGAGAGGGCGAAGGAGTAGGAGGAGGAGGAGGAGGAGGAGGAGGAGGGGGAGGAGGAAGAGGAAAAGGAGAAGGACGAGGCGGGGAGGAGGAGTGGAGGGGAGGAGGGGGGGAGAGGAGGAGGAGGCTCGATCGAGGGCGATCGACGATCGGAGACGACGACCAGCGACGGTGATTCACGACGACGACGCCGACCACGACGACGACCGATGACGATCGACGACGATGACGACAGTCGACGCCGCCGATCGACGATCGACGGCGACGACGAGGACGGCCACGCCGACGGCGGCGACGCTGTCCGACAGCCTCAGCGAGGCCCAAGAGGGCCTGAAGACGTTCAAGAGCGCCTCAAGAGGGCCCGAGATGGTTTGAAGCTGGCCGAAAAGGGCCTTCAAGAGGCAAAAATCGGCCCACTCCCGTTGTACAACGTACGTTTTCAGCATACTTGCTTGCTTGGTCCTCACAGTGCCCCAGACGCCCCCGAGCCCCAAGACAGCCCAAGAGAGACCCAAGAGGGCCCAAGACGGCCCAAAAGGGTCGTCCTGTGAGGCTCGCGGAACCCCCAAGACGGCCCAAGAGGCCCCAAAGTTGGCCCAGGAGGCTCCCAACACGGCCTCAGGGAGGCCCAAGAGGGCCTCGTTCGAAATCATATTCACAGAAGCCTCTCCTGGAACATGATTTCCTGGTTCCCAGGACGCCCAAGAGGGCCCTAAGACGGCCCTTCAAATGGACGTTCGTAAAGGCCCGGAGGGC